TGTAAAAATTTTTTCAATTAAAGATAGCATCGATATTTCTTTAATATTTAGAAGCTTGTAAGCTTCGATCTATATTCTTTTACTTATATTGCATTCAAGTACAAAGTGTTCTATTGTTTGAAGTTCATCTAGACACCAGAGGCAGTCTCCTGACTCTGTTGCGAATATGTGTTGTAACCGATATTCTAAAAGAAGGGCCTTATAGTACATGTACCATAATATATCATTTTTCTTGTTATTAGCTACTTTTGTGAATAGCCAGTCCATCTTGATATCTGTTAAAAATATAGTATTTGTTAGGCAACTGTTTGTTTCTTTAAGATTTCTATTAGATTTTTTACTATAAAGTCCATATTTTGTTTTCATTAACTTTAAGGTCTTCTATTTTCCAGAGTCAACTATAATTTGCTATAATTTTCTTCTGAATTTTTTTCAAGCTGCTAGGTATGGTTTCTATTCTGTTGGCTAGGCTTTAAATCTGATTGGAGTTGATATTAAAGATTGTAATGCTATAATATCTCTTTTTTGTCTTAGAGAAAAAAAAATCCTGTTTTGTTCAATTTTTGCCTATAGACAGTCTCTTGTTATTAGTCTTGTCCATATAGTTAGCATTTTCGCATCAAGCAAATTGCTAACTATTGTGGCTTGAAGACCTCCATGTTCATAGAATAGCTGAAAAGTTGAGTATCTAGGAAGCATTCTGGAGTTATTTTTGATCCATATCGTAATTAGTTTATTAATTTCTGCTACTTGCTTTCTACTTGGAGGTAGTAGATATACCGCATACCATATGTGTGCAAGTATAAGTGAATTTGCTACTAGAATTTTTCCTCTAAAGGAGAGATTTTTTTGGAAGAACTTGTTTGTGAGACTTTTGATCTTTGTGGTAACTATAGTCTATAAATCTCTTTTAGGTGTTCTATCTGAATAGATTTTATAGCCCAATATCGTGATTGCTTCTTGCTCTGCTACTTTTGTGAATTGTTTTTCTTTTGTAAGCTCAACTCTTCTGCCTATAACTGTAAGAGGTACTAGTTTTGTTTTGCTTTTGTTAATTTTAGCATTGGAGACATTTTCGTATATATAAAATAATTCTTGTACTCGGTTCTAGTCTGAAGGAGATTCTATCCCTATTGTTAAATCATCTGCATATGCTACTGGTTTAAAATAGTATCTTTGAGCTGATATTCCTTGGATTTTATTTTCTATCACTTTCAGTAATAGTTCAAAAGCTATAATATAGAGAAGAGGAGAAAGAGGGTCTCTTTGGCGAACTCCTCTTTCTATTCTAAAGGGACTTGAGATATCTCCTGAATCCATGATATGTGCTTCTTGATTTAAAATAGATTTTTGATTACTCTTCTAAATCTTATATCAAAGTTCATCCTTTCTAAAACTGTTTGCATATATGTATAATCAACCCTGTCAAAGGCTTTTTTCTGATCTACAAAAAGCATTCAGTATTGTTTAGTACTATTTATTTGATTTTTCATAGTTGTAAAGATATCCAGAGCTGTATCTGCTATTGATCTTTTTGTAACAAAATCTTGTTGATGGTCTAGAATTATAGATTTGCAAACTTTATTTAGTCTGGTAGTCAAAATTTTTATAAAAATTTTAGTATCGCAGTTGACTAATGAAATTGGCCTCCAGTTATCTAGATTGTTTAGGTTTGCTAACTTTTTGAATATCAGAGTTATCATGTTCTTGCACCAAGATGTTAGAAGTGTTCCTGCTGTTAGAACTTGATTGAAGATTTTTTTAAGGACTGGAACTATCTGCTTCTCGGTAAGCTTATAGAACTCATATGTGAGACTATCAATTCCTGGTAATTTGTTGTTTAGAAGTTGCTTTATTGTTTGACTGATTTTTTCCTGAGTAATAGATTTGGTTAAGCCTATGTTTAGTTCTTCTAAGACTTGAGCGAGATTGCTAGTTAATTTATCAATTACCTTCTGATCTGTTTTTTCTTTTTTATAGATCTTTTCATATTGTTCTTTAATGAACTTTAGAGTATCTTCTTTTCTGTTCTTGTTTATATTGTTAGGCTCTTTAACCATTGAGAAAGCCAAGTTTGCATATCGAAACTTGTAGTAAGAGAAGAAGTACTTTGTGAACTTTTTTTCTTGTTTAATTCACCTTGCTTTTGAGCGAATTTGCTATCTGTCTGCCAGTAGAGTCAGTTTTTCCTATATAGAGGAGTTAAGATCCTCACATGTAGAGTATAAGAATGACTTAGTTGGATCTTCTGCGATTTGTTCCTGAAGTTTTGTGAGTTTTTTTGTTAATCTTTGAAATCTTATTTTTTGGAGCTTTTGACTTTTTGAAGGCTCTTATAATTAACTAAATTCTTAGCTTCTGTAGATCCTACTCTGATAGTTCTTTAAAGACATGATTTCCTCTATTATTTCTTTTTTCAAAAGTTTATTTTTAAAAGAATTCTTATCAAACCTCCAGTTAGAAGGTTGATTGATCTTCTGTCTTTTGGCCAGAGTGTATTCGATTAGTAAGTGGTCTGAGTTGCCAAAGAGCAACTTTGTAAATGATATGAGATGTTTATAGTTTTCATCTATAAAGATGTAATCAAGTCTAGTTGCTATTATTTGATTGTTTTAGATCTTTTGGTGAAATGTGAGAAAAGGTTTTTGCTCTGCATAAATAGCAGAGTCTATGTAGTCCTTTACCAGGTTTTTGAGTTGAGTTCTGGTATTGTCATTTTGTAGTATAGCTTGCCTTATTCTGTCTATAGTCAGATTTAGATTTGTGTTAAAATCTTCTGCCAGAATATTGATAGAATTTTCTTTGTATTATAGAGACTATTTGTCAAAGAAAGCTGTTCTGTCTTTTATGTTTGGAGAAGCATATAGATTTGTAACTAAAAAAGATTGACCTCTATATGTGAAGTTTGTAAAGATTACTCTTCTTTCGTGTAGAATCTCAGTATTCTGAAATTTTATTTCTTTTCTTCCTGCCAATATAGCAGTCTTGTTTGTCCAAATTGATTCATAAATCCATTGCTTCTTAATGAAGGTTTGTGTTGCCTGGTTGTTTAAATTTGGTTCTTGTAATAGTATTAGGTCTAAGTTATATGATTTTAAAAATATCATTGTTTTTTGTCTTTTGTTCTGGTCATTAAGTCCCTTTACATTTAGGGTAGCAATTTTAATTATTGCTTTAGTCATTATATATTATAAAAATAAATATGCTCTTATTGAGCTTTTGAAGAATTCTTTTTTGTTCGTTCTTTCTTGTATAGAGCTTGCCTTACTGTTGCTTGCTTGTATATATTTTGATTTGTTTGTTTCTTTTTTTTCCTCTTGTAGGATACAGTTGTATAATCTTCTTCTATTAGAATTGCTGATAATATATTTTCTTGAGGAAAGTTATTCTCTTTGTTATTATCTTTAAAAGATGAGCTGTCTAGTGCAAGCTCATCTCTTGTTGTGAGTTTTGCTTCTGAGAAAGTAGTTGCTTGTTCAGCTTCTTTCTAAGTATTTTTTATTTCATTATTTGTACTATAAGAGATATCTTTTATCTCTTGCTTATCTGGTGTTTCTATACTTATTGCTTCTTCTTTCAATTTCTCTTTCTCTTTATTTTCTGAAAGACTTTCTACTTCCTAAGTAGTTTTGCTAAGGTAGTCTCTGTTTTTTGTCTTGAAGATTTCTTTGAACTCTCAATAGTGTTGTCTTAATGCAACTGACTCTTTGAATTGAGAGCATTTTTTCTTTATATGCTTTTCCTGATCACAAAAGTAGCAAACTTTAGAAGCTACCTTCTATTCAGTTGTAATTTTGTTGTTTCTGAGGTGAGTAAAGCAAGAGATTCACTTTTCTAAATCCTCATCTTCTATTGTGTCAAAAATGACAATCTATTAATTAGTTAAATATAGTATTTCTTCAATTATCAATGGTTTAATTGAGGCTATTTTGCCAAAATCTTGAAATGCATCTTTGATTAGCATTGTTATTTCTTCTTTCTCTTTTAATGAAATGTTTCTGAGCTTTACTAAGAGAAAAGACTTGCATGAGTCCATTGGAATATAACCAAAGTATGATTTGTTAAAGATATTGATACCCTTGGTCGCATAATAACCAAGAGTATTTTTGTTAGAAAAGATAATTTTCAAGTATGTGCGGTTACTCTTTTTGAAGTATTGTTTTGCTGCTATAATATCTTGTTTGATGCTTTTATAAAGTAAGATTATTATTTCATTGAAAGAGCTTTGAATATCTTGTATTTTGATAATTAATGCATTCTCATTCTTGGTTTTTATTTGTTTTCTAGAGAAGAAGGTTGTATAAGTCGATTGGCCTCTTTTTAATTTTGCAAATAGGCTTGACCACTTTTTGTTGTTTGTATCTCTTGGTTAACTAGTATCTGCTTTAGCTTTTCCTTTTGAAGTTGAGCTTCCAATATATAGATTATTTTTTGAAAATTCTGTAGCCTTTGATATGTTTTGTTCTATCAGTTGTTTTTGATCTATAGTCATGTGATCTTGTACGTGTTCTGTAACGTGACTTGTTTTGTTGTTTTGTTGTTGTTCTTCATTTTTACATGTTAACATGTTTGTAGAGGTTGAGCTTTGACTTTCTTCTTCTAAAAATGCTAGTTCCTCTTAGCTAGTATTTTTTGTAGTTGTTTTGATTGCTTGTATTGAAGTAGCTGTATTTGCAGTGATTTCTTGTTGTTGTTTTGATATGCTGTTTGTTTCTCTTTATTCGTCAAAGAAAAAGTTTTGTATTTTTAGTTTTTTGTTGCAGGTTTCTTGTATTCCAAGAAAAATATATCTTCTTTTTCTTGGTACAAAGGCTAGTACCCTTGTTGGGTCTTGTTTTAGGTTGTTTGTAAACTTGTATTGAGTAGTTATCATGTTTTTTTGTTTGCATTCTTTTCCTTATGAATTTGTATAGAAGAGAGTTTGTGTCGATCCTTATAATACTTATTTGAACTGTGACTATTTGATTTATTTGACTTGTTCACTTATTTGAACTGTAGGTATTTATTTATTTGACTTGATCAATTATTTGAATCATGATTTTATTTATTTTTTTTTTTTTATAATTCGGCTGCCTACCGTCATTTATTAAGATCATAACTATTCAATAAATTACAAAATTTTTTCTCTTAGCTATATTGATCCACCAGACCTATGGCTCACTAAGCTTTTGCCTAATGTGGCCTGTTTCAGTAGTCATTGGTTTCAATTCGGGTCCTTATATATAAGGACTTTTTTCCCTTTAATCTTCGGCTAGCGACTACAAGCCACTTGCCTCGATGTTGGCTTTTCTTTTTAGTAATAAGAACATATATAAAAAATAAAGAGTAAAACAAAACAAAATAAAATAGACAAAGCAATGAAGTCTAATCTAACTAAAACAAATAAAAACCAAAAACAAAAACAAAGAAAAACAAAACAAAATAAAAGAAAAGAAAACAAAAGACAGCACTATTAAATCCATGCCAGACTATAAAAATTATATAGTGCTACTAAAAACTAGTCTAAACTTTATACTAGTTATTTATACCTATATTAGGATATACAAGATTCATTCTTAAGTAGAAGTTCAAGTTCAAAATTTCTCTTGTGGTCCCACCAAGTCTTTATCCAGCATTCTGCAACGTATTCACGCTCTTTGTTCTTGGCAAAGTTAACGTGCTAGAGCACTTAGTGTAAACACTGTAATCTCTTGAGGTAATGTGATCGTACATTATTCATCCCAAAGTAGATACATACTCCTGTACGTGACTTTCCTTTGGCAGCGATTGTTGTTGTTGATCTTTTGATGGGGTCTGCCAGATTCCCACTTTTGGTGAAATTTCGTAAAGAGCAAAAAGTGGAGTGTTGAAAAGGGTTTCTGTTTGCAAGTAGCCTAAAACTTCAATAGAGAATATGTTCAAAACTCACTTGTTGTTCTCCTTCAGCCCAACTATCTTTTACTTTGTTAGCAGAAGCTATGCTTCTATTAAAATTTTTTGCACAAGAGCGCCAACTCCTGCCAGTTATCTTGTACAAGAATGCTTTTAACTTGCTTGCTAAATATACAAAGGAGTCTAGCCAGACGCAAAAGGCCTTGACTTCTGTAAAAACCATTACTTGATAGTCATCTCTTCCTCTTTTCTCCAACAAGTTTCTGT